ATATTAAAATCAAATAATAGAATAAAAATTAATTTAAAATTTTCTAATTTTTGATTATAGAGGTTTTGCACTATAGTTAAAGTATCACAAACTCCTTTTTTATTCTTATATTCATTTTTTTTAAAAAAAGCTATCAGGATAAATAAACAGGATCTGCAATACTAAAGATAAGAAAATAAATAATTTATTTTAAACAAAAGTTATTGTACTATTAATACAAATAACTGAAAATATATACATATATCTAAAATGATATCATCATACCCTTAATGTAAAGGATGACTTTAAAAAAACTTGTGATAATTTAAAAGGAAATTTAAGTATAAGTAAATAAATTCTATTCATCTACAAATAAAGTTTCACCTTCTATACCCTAATCTTTTACTCCAATAGTTCATTCCATACTTAAGAAAGGGATCAAAGAAAAGAGAAACCAAAAGTAGTTACTACAGTTTCTAAGACTTCTAATCAAAAGGAGCCTGTAATCTATACTTGAGAAAAGGATCAAAAAAAAGAAAAATCTCAAATGATTATCCAAGCTCCTGAGACTTTTAGTTGAAAGAAGAATGAAAAGCAAAAAGGTGTTCAAGAGAGCAAGAGTACGTGGAAAAAACTTGTAAATAATTAAGTGATATAAATTTCTTAAGAAGCTGGGTATAATAGAAGAAGCACAAACAGAAAGAATAATAGGGCAGATTATAGAGTTAATTATATTTGGTAATTCAGAAAGCTATACTTTAGAAGGTGATATATACTTTGAAGAAAAAAGAGTAGGAGATTCAAATAGATCACATAGAAATCTGCAATCATTAAGCAAATAGAAAATCATAATTCTTAGAATAGCAAACCTAGCATATGCTTTTAATGATATAGTAAATCAAGTAGATTATGCTGAAGTTCTATATATGCCTCAACTAATAGCATCAGTTTGAGAAGAAATTACAAGCGTTCTTCAAACAGAGCTTAATAGAAGAATTAGATAAAATCAGCATTAATTATATACTGTAAATACTATAAAATAGAAGAGAATACAATTACCAAAAAAATAATATATACATTTACTGAGTAATATTATAGGGGAGAGATGTGTCTAATTTTCTCTAAAAATAGTATAGATAATATTTAACTTATTCTAGTTTAGAAATAGATAAGAAAATTGATGAATTTCTTGATAATGGATCTGGTTAGCATTTAATTCGAATTGATAAGGTATTTATTGAGACATATACTTACTGATGATGAGCAACAGGAGGATCTTACATTTCTACTTCTAAGAAACTTGCAAATACAAAGTGCATCATCAATTCAAATAATTATGTTCTTATAGATTCAGAAACAAATAGACCTTCTGAAAAGTATCTTCAAGATGCATTAGATGTTTACTTCGCTTATCAGAATAGAAACACAGATCTTAAACAAATTTTTAGAGCTAAGAATATACATGAAGTCAAATAGATTATTTTGGATATCCAAAATAGTTGAAATAGTTAAAATCATTTCAACTATTAGAGGTTAAAGTCACAAAAAAGTCAAAATGATGTCATATCATAAGACCTGATCACCATGGTTGGCTAAACTATAAAATTTCTATCACATAAGATATCTTTAAATCCCTGTCAGTTTTTTGATAGTTCTAGGAGAGTTTTAGGAGCTGATGAGTTTCTATAAATCATGAGATGATTGGCCAATCAGATTTCAGATTTTTTCCTTTTTTGATCAAGACTTTCAGAAATATTCTAACATAATTGCCTAGCTTGATAGATTTTCTTTTTTCGAACTATAGTAAGAAAAAAGGGAGAAAGGTTTTATTTATAAGCAGATTATACAACATATACATGAGTTTAAAATGCAAGCCCTATTGGACAAACTTTATTAATTATAAAGCGAATTATACTTTACAATACTACATATAAAAAGTGTTGAACTGTAAGATCGTGACTGTCATTACTATCATAAAATTTACTATTATGTAATCAAGCAAATACTCTGGCTAATTTCTAATCTGAAACATAATATATTTAATATTATCCTCACTTAAATTTGAAATAGAATTTGCTATAAATGATTTAACTTATTTTATATATGTCATCTGTTAAATTTTATCATTACTAAGGCAGAAAAAAAATCATAAACTTTTTTCATTCTTTTCGCTTTTTCTGAAGCATATTTTTTTAACTTCTTTCAGAAGCTGATCCATAATCTTAGCATAAATCATTTTCTGGACCTTGTGATTCTCATTCATTTTTTATAGTAAACAAGACTCTTCTTTAGCTCTTCTTCAAAGTTTAATAAGCTAATATCACTTTATGACATGCGGTTTCACTTCTCTTCTCAATATTGGAAATTTTTAAATATAAGTCAAAAAAAGTTTAGATACCCTTAACTTCTTGTGCAGATTTTCTTTGAAGACCTTTCTTTTCCTTAATTTCAGAGATTCAAGTGATATCAGAAGTCAACTTCCAGATAAGCTTTTTCAATACGATAAAGTCATCTTCCTTAATCTATTTATTGGATTTTTGGCTAGAGGCTATTAGCTTGCTTTTATTCTTACTATTAGAGAAGCTTTGAATCTCAGGTTGACTTGATTCTTTCTCCTCACCATTCCCATTCTCATTTATATTTACATCATTATCATCCACATCTGCATTTATTTTATCAGTTGATAGACAGATAGGATATAGTTTGTATGGATTATCAATGCAGGTATAATGCATAATATGTTTACAGGTTAAGTATATGAGAGGTTTTAGAGATCTTGAAGTTAAAAGAAAAAATGAATTTACAGGTGAAGTCATGAAAAAAAGTCTTTGGAATATTTGGTGTATCTTGAATAACTTTTAACTAGTTAGGATTCTATATTCTCAACCCCCTCCATTCGTAAGGTTAATGAAGATAGAATAAAGTTTTCATTTATCCTATTGGTTAAGGCTGAAATTTCACTGGTAACTCCTGATTAGTAGGAATAGCTCTATAATATCAACATTTTTTCCACAATCAGAAAATGAGCATTTATTCAATATGATCAACAGAAGCTTTTTCTCAATGCATATCCTGTAAAGGATAATTCAGCCATTAGTTAATTATTAGGATACTTTGTAATCTCAATTTAAAGAGTTGATATAATAATAAATAATAAATATGATAATAGAAGTTTGGTCGCTAGTAGTATCTCATAGGAGAACTTTCATGTAATTGGACAATCAATATTCAATTGAATTTATATAATTTATAGTACTTTTTGAGATTATAACATTTCATATATAAAAATCTAAAAATTTTTTTACTTATATGTTAATATTTGCAATGTAAAATAATCCCAATTTTAGAAGTATTTTACTTAAAAGGCAAGTATGAATATCAGATCATATGTAATTACAATATATCAAAGCTAAGCGTCAGTAAAATAGAAAAAGGTAACTGAGTATGTTATTGCCAAATGTTAAACTAATAAAACTTTGCTAAGTTATATACAAATAGGGGATATAATCTGCTTAAACTGTTACAATAGAATTGTAATAAATGCTTTACTTGCATTTCAACAACATACTCTGAAAACTTCATCTCTATCTCCAATTCCAACTTTAATTTCATCTTCACCTTCACTTCCTACTTCTACCTTCACCTCTGCCACCTTTACCTTCTATTTTATTATTCTTCAAAGTAGTAAAAATAATAACTAATATCTTATATAATTACGAAATTAAGGAAATAAAACTAACTGTATATTCATATGATAAGTTTCACAAAGTTATAGAAGAAAAGAATGCAAATTTAAATCCTTTTTTGATAAATTATATTTATCATTTAATCCTTCTTCAAAAAATAAAGATTCTCAAGCACAAGCAAAAAAAATAACTCCTATTTATATGTTATTTTTTCTATAGGATTCAGAACAAGTTTATTAATTATACTAAAAGTGATTTAGCAATGTCTCTAGATTTTATAGGTGCTTCTGATACTTCTATAGATACCCTAATTGATTTGGATATGACTATAACATCTCACACAGTTTTGCGATATAAGACAACAGTATTCAAAGAATATGCTGAGACTGTCAACTCAATACTTGCTGAATGTATAAGAAATGTAATGATACTAAATATTAATGATTATCACAGCATTCATATGAAATGAATACTGAATACAACTATCATATTAACTGCCATCCGTTTAGCAACAATACTGGTGAATCCAATTATGATATAGTATGTAATTCCAAAGATAAATATACATAACCTTGTACTAGTTGATGTCAACTTGATTAAAACTAATATGAAAAATAAGTTTATGAATCTTTGCGGTCTTTCACATAACTGATGCTGGGGATTTCATATAGTTGATAATGATACAAGGTTAGAAGAGCTAGCTGTATATAGTTACGATATTATATTAAAGGAAAAATAAAATGCTTGTTCAATGAAAGATATCATACAGTCCTCAGCGAAAAGAATGGCGGAAACAAATTTTTATGGTATGTACTAACTTTATTTTTATTGTAATTTTTTTTTATTTATTTA